GTGTAGCAGTGTTCCACACACACCAAAGGACCTGAAGATGGGGGGGTGGGGGGTGTGAAAAGTGTGGAAAGATGAGGGCGTGTTCAGAAGACGGGGGGTGGGGGGTGTGAAAAGATGAGGGTGTGTTCAGAAGACAGGGGTGTGGAAAGTGTGGAAAGATGAGGGCGTGTTCAGGAGACGGGGGTGTGTGAAAAATGTGGAAAGATGAGGGCGTGTTCAGAAGACGGAGGGTGGGGGGTGTGGAAAGATGAGGGCGTGTTCAGAAGACGTGGGATGGGGGGGTGAAAAGATGAGGGTGTGTTCAGAAGACGGGGGGTGGGGGGTGTGAAAAGATGAGGGTGTGTTCAGAAGACGGGTGTGGAAAGATGAGGGCGTGTTCAGGAGACGGGGGTGTGAAAAGTGTCGAAAGATGAGGGCGTGTTCAGAAGACGGAGGGTGGGGGGTGTGGAAAGATGAGGGCGTGTTCAGGAGACGGGGGTGTGTGAAAAGTGTGGACCGATGAGGGCGTGTTCAGAAATGGTCTTGTCCGTCTGTCAGCAGGGATGCTCCTCCCTTGCTGCCCAGCGATACGGCGCAGGGCTACCGCACGGTCAAGGCCAAGCTGGGCTGTAAGAAGGTGCGGCCGTGGAAGTGGATGCCCTTTACGAACCCCGCCAGGAGGGACGGGGCTATATTCTACCACTGGAGGCGCATGGCGGAGGAGGGCAAGGACTACCCCTTCGCCCGCTTCAACAAGGTCAGTGAAGCGCCACCGGCAGAGGTTTCCGTGGCGATGAGAGTTGGGTTTGCTCTAGTCTCGGTGAGCTGGAATGTAATGGCAGCCGTGGCTGGCGGGCCTGGTGATGTTTTGGATGCCTTGTTGCCTTGTTCGAGCCCAGGGACCGGCTAGCTGGCTACATCTTCAAGATGCTTGGCTCTGCAAGGCTCCCAAGCTTGTTTGCACTGTTTGTTTTTTTTCTCATCACCCATTTTGTTCATGGCACCTTTCAGTGGGAGGTGTGAAATGAAAGTGCACAGGCTGGGCTTTCTGTAAGGAAGCTGAATGGTTCTGGGCGGATAAGTAGTCCAATGGCATGATTGTGGTATGCAGTATGGAGTTTTTCTACTAGCGTGATGCAAAAACGTCTGATTTTGCCACAGTGCTCTAAACTAGGTATGTTTTATGGAATAAAATTGTTGAAATCATTTGGTCTCTCACCATTCTAAAGATGCACTGTATTGCACATTGTACGCCAGCCATAATATATCGGCAACTATTCCCAAATTTAAAAAAATATATAAGCTTATACTGACAGGGCTGAAAATGTGTTTTGTTTCACAATAATATCTTGTTACTTAAGTATTACCCATCAACAGTGTAGGATATAAGTTACAACAATTTACTGTTAACCAGCCTTCTTCTTTAGCTCACCCAAACCCTATTAAGAGCTCTTGAAAGCAAACCCCCTAAAATTGATAGTTAACTATGTGTGGTCCATAGATTTTAAGTGTCAACTGCTGGGCAGCAACCAGGTATGAAAATATCATTTCTTGAACCCATCTTTTACCTTCACCAGTCAGACAGACGGAGGCAGATATCAGTGTTGTCGCTTTGAATAATCAGTACGTTGCTTTTCCCGTCGGCGCAACGTAGAGCATGACTCTTTAAATAGAGTATAAAACTCGAGGTTGTGGATTGTAATCGTATGTTACAGTAGGGACATAAAACCATACAACGACCAAGGGTTTCTCCGATGTGCTGCACACATTTAGGGAATTTGTGAAATGCCAGGTTTCACAATCTTAATGTAAGACGTATAAAATGTCTCTGTCTGATGGAGGAGGATGTACAGTATGGTTCTTTACTTTCTTGGTGGGGCCAATGGAGGAGAACACAAGCTTACGTTCTGAGCAAGTGGCATTTTGTGAACTGCTGCCTAGCTCACGCTTGTTAAATATAAGAAAAGTCCATTTTTTTCCCCCCTTAAAATGACACCTTGCATTAGAGGCTTTGAAAAACACTGCCAGGCGGTGTCCAGTATAAAAACAAGTTAAGTCCACTTAAGTGTTTTGTGTTGTGCCTGCTGCTCTTGTCACTGTTTCACTTCATAGGAATAGCCAGTGTGTCTTTGTAAGTGTTTTTCTGTCTGAGCATCGGATATTTAAGTTGTTAGTGTCCGTTTAACAGAGAACGGGGTCCCCTCATTGGCAGCTACTGGAGTAAAACGTGTTGTTCCTGCGTTCAGACTGTGCAGGTGCCCGTGTACTCCGAGCAAGAGTATCAGATGTACCTTCACGATGACGGGTGGACCAAGACGGAGACCGATCACCTCTTTGACCTCTGCAAGCGCTTTGATCTGCGGTTCATCGTCATCCACGACCGCTACGACCACCAGCAGTTCAGGGTGAGCCGTGGGGGAGAGCTGGCGTCATTTGCCACCCCCAAAAACAAAATTCCAGGTGCATCAATGAGTGCGCCAAGTAAACGGACTGAGTTTTGAAGATTGGGATCGGAGTGCATTTGCGTTTCCCAAGAAAAAGTGGACAATGAAAATTGAGAGGGATCAAAGAAATCCAGAAAGAAAAGCATGTCAGTCTCCTTTGTTTTCCCCCTCAGGAATAGGCCATGGCACCAGGCAGATGAGATGGGTTAATCTAATGGGGTGTAGTAGGTAATTCAGTGACGTTTTTGAATCATTTTGTGCCAATGTTTTCAAGGCGTGTTGTTTAATTCAAGAGAATTTTGAATGGATTCTTGTAGCCTGCCTTCTTCTTTTAACCCATTTCAAGCTAATTTAGCAGATTATTAGGTGTCATCTTTATAAACGAAGGTTAAATGCACCGACAGCCATGTGTCCAATTGGCTGCCTGGCCTTCCTGGTGGACAAACTCGGCTGTTCCCTCGGGTTTCAGAAGCGCTCCGTGGAGGACTTGAAGGAGCGCTACTACAACATCTGCGCCAAGCTGACCAAGGTCCGGGCCCCCTCTGGGACCGATCCGAAGATCTACGTGTTTGACGCGGGACACGAGCGGCGCAGGAAGGACCAGCTGGAGAGGCTGTACAACCGCACGCCGGAGCAGGTGAGCCCCTGTAGTGTGAAGGTTGAGCCTGTTTCTGAATGTGTTTTTCCAGCTGTACCCAGTTTATTCCCCTAGGTGGCGCCATGTGCTCACACAGATGGCTGTGAGCCCCTTGCAGTGATGCCTGTGTTCATTTCGCCCCATACTGCTGACAGCTCAGTCCCTGGACTGGGAATTAGCCCGGTGCTGAGGAGGTAGTATTCTGAGGTCATTGTCTGGCTGGAGGAAGGGGTCATCTTTCTCTAAGCCTGCTAGAAAAAAAGCCCAGCAATATCCAATCAGCAGAACCTTTAACGACAAAAGGCATTTCTTCTTCTAAAATTGGTAGAATTCTTTCTCCTTCTCCGACTTTGGCTTTTTTTTTTTTGCTATGCAGTGAAGGAAAACTGCTACCTCCGTCTTTAGCATGCATTGCTTGTTCCTTGTTTCCCTTCTGTGGTCCTCCAGTTGTGTATTTTGGTAAAAAGGGGAGTATTTGAATTTGTACCACTTCTTTGGCTCTGGTTGTGATTCCCTCAGTGTGGAGATCTCGTGGTTTTTCACAGGCCCGTGTGCACCCTGGGATAGACTGGAGACCTGTCCCATGTCAGGTCCCTGCCTTGGACACCAGCATCTCCAGTTCAGCTTTCTGGTTGCACTTTACCCCCTGTGGAATGTCTTTTAAATAGCCCAACGTGTTCTTCATCTTGACACCAGGATTAAAATAGTTTATCAAATAAATTAATTGGTTATAGAAAGAAATACCAGATTTGACTGATCAGTTGGTATTTGCCTCCCCTTTAGTCAGGTGTAGATTGCTCAGCTAATGTCAGTTTTAGCCTTAAAAGTAAGCTGACCAAAAATGAAGCTTGTGCGCCCTTTATCTGAGGAACTCGCCTTATCCCATGCAGACTGTAGTCCCATGAGTATTCTTGGTTTCTGCACTCACTGGACAGACAGTTCTGCGCTCTTAAACGGACCCTGTCCTGGAGCAGAACAGTGGTTTGCATTGCTGCCTCGCAGCTTGGGTTCAGTCCCCGAGGTGCTGTCTGCGTGGAGTTTGCGCGTTCTCCCTGTGTTCGTGTGGGTTTTCTCCGGGTGCTCCGGTTTCCTCCCTTTCCATTCACGATGCCCAAACCCCCCACCACTGCTCCTGGTTTCGCAGCCAGTAATATTGAAGTGGAGCATCCATCGAAGTAGCATCAACAGAAAACATGACCGGGTCATCATTTATTGGAGCAAAGTCATCCACTTCTGAAGCCAGCTCCTGACCCAAAGGTTTAGTTGCCTTTTGACACCAAATATTTGAGGCTGTGATTGTGTGTGCACTAATTTTATCAAGAAAGGAAGGCCTAGTTCTGTGATACTTTTTGTTTTACTTTTTCAGTTTTTTTCTATATGTTTTACATGGCTGAATTTCCAGATTCGTTTTCCACCTGTTTTTTATAGCCAGCCTTTTCTTTCACTGGGATGTGCCCTGACCCCTGCTGCTGTGTCCTTGTCTGGCCTGCAGGTGGCAGAAGAGGAGTATCTAATCCAGGAGCTGCGGAAGATCGAGACCAGGAAGAAGGAGAGGGAGAAGAAAGCCCAAGACCTGCAGAAACTCATCACGGCAGCCGACACCACCACTGAGATGAGGCGTGCAGAGCGCAAAGCCACCAAGAAGAAACTTCCTCAGAAACGAGAAACTGAGAAACCGGTGAGGTGCTTTTCGCTTCTCTGTGCCGCTCTCCCAGGTGCAGGTGGCAGTTTTCTTACTAAAGACCTTGGCACGGCTGTGCCAAGCCTTCTAGCGACACCGTGCCCCAAGCAGGGCTAGGTTGAAATGAGCCCGTAGTTAAATGATCAGCATTGATACCTTCATTAATGAGCAGTGATTTAAATGCAGTCATAGCTGTCGATATTCAGTTCACTTTTTGATTGTGTAGAGCATAGCAATGTTTTGACATACATTTAGAAGTACATATCTAGCTATTAATATACCTAATGATACTGCATTCCCATGTTCCAGTATCATTCCAGTCTTCAGTGACACCTGATTACCTTGGTAAGTCAGTCTGTGGTTTGAGGGAGCTTTGTCCTTCAATGCACAACCAGATTTAACCTGCACAAAGTTAAAATACGGAAGAACAGCAGAGTTTGAATATGCTGCACTGACCTTCCCAATTGCCGGACTTTTAACCTCATTGAAACGTTTTCTGATAAACGTGACTGAAATGTTCAAAAGAATTGTGCAGTCTGCACAAATAGCTGATGCAGCTCCTGAGGTTGTGTGACCAAGTGCCTAGAGTCCCTGCAGCTGTAATGACTTTTAATAGTTGCATGAACGTGAGCAGATCCTATCCTTTCGTGCATTTTGAGAAAGTTGGAGAAACATGCACATAAGCCCATAGTTTGTGCTGTTTCTTTATTTTGTATTTCAAGAGGATTGCAGGTGTTTCCATTGTTTGAACCCACTAAGGCTGTAATTGTAACTGTTTCCACCCAGTTTCCTCTAGTGACATCTGCTGGTCTATGAAGAGTTGAACACTGTGAAAGCAGTTTCTGCAAAGGCTATTTCGAGCTTTGATTTGCATTGCAGATGTACCCACTTCTAATTTCATTAATGGGGATTTAAGCGCCATATATGTTTTTATGGTTAAACAGAATAAAATAACCGATCGCTAATGAAATAAGCAGATGATATTATGAAAGCCTTCCCGCCCACTGCCCAGAATGGTTGAAGGTAATGGTTTATTAATAGCGAGAACTCCCAGCAAGCTTTCCTGGGAAACTGCTAGTAACGGGAGGGGGTAGAATCTGGAACGGGAAGCGATTAAGTCAGCTCTCCTGCACAGAGAGCCCTCAGTTTTTTATCTGGTGCTTGATGCTGCTCAGTTTTCAAGAGTGCACTTCTTGACGACTACGCGGGCGATTGTTAATGACTGTAGCACAAACTGCAGGCAGCGGAGTTTCTCCGTTTGCCTCCACGTTTTTCTTTGGCTAAAAAATTCATGCCCACCCCTGGCTTCAGTGAGTCGGAGGACCTCAGGATGACCCTTCCGGAATGATTCCTCTCCTAATGGTTGACATCCGGTTTGGGAAGCGAACAACTCCACGCGGATCATGTAGTCAGAATTGCACACAAGGGCAGATTTGACCGGTCCGTTTTAAACGTGATGAGTAACTTTTTTTTTAAAAAAAGTTTTTAATGGAATGAGCACGATGCATTAGCTGTTGAACAATATTCAACTAATTTTTCAGTTGTTTTTTTTAATTAAATACACTTAGTTTATATAAACATTTAGACAATACCGCGTTATAAGGGAAAGAACACTGTAAAAGTACACATTCTAGTTTGCACATCTTTAGAGAAGAGGGCTAGTGGCAGCTCTTTCTCTTTTGAGATCACAGAGTTAATGCTTTCAAAACGACTAATATATTTTGATTCTTTTTCTTTTTAGTGCGTTCTCTTTTTTTGCAATATTATAAACAGACTAGTTATCATTCACGTCAGCGATTCCTTTGGTTTTTGTGATGTCCGCATAGGACTTTTCATGTAAACGCTTGCTAACACATCAGAATGCAGAATTCTCTAAACTGATGCATAATGGTGTTTTACGTTTTGACGCTACATTGTAGTAAAATATTAACAGATGTCTGCATTATCCTGTCTCTGGAGGTTTTGGAGCAGTTCAGACTGAAATATGAACCAAACCAATGTGTAAAGAACACAAATTGCAGAACGGGACTTGAAGTTGTTTCAGCTGAAGGAAATGGTTATTTAAATGCTGATCCGTCCTTTATGGACACTTACCAAAAGTGATTTTCACTTCTCTCGCAAGGAGTTATGAGTGGGTCAGAATTTAGGAAATGCATACTCCACCGATTGGCTCTATTAAAGTGATGGAAAGTAATTAAATTGCACTGCCCCCAACACAGGGTTTAGGTAATGCATGTACAGGGAACAGATTTTCCCTCTCCAGTGTCAAACTGCATTGTAAACACCGGCACAGCAAGGAGATTTCGGTATTAAATGTAAACTGCAGAGTCTAGTTGCCCTCGTTACAGACGGAGTCCTTCCATCACCTCCAAGCTTATTTTTGGGCCTTTGTTTTTTTAGCCTTGACTGTCTGGGCTCTGTAAATGTAGATGTCTGTGTCAGGAAACAGATTGTTATCCTTTATTTACGCACCCTTCACATCCTTAATTTCTTTCCCCTTATGCCTGGCGCAGAGTACAGTGTACTGCGAGCTTGATTTAACTGTTCCTTCACGAAGATGTTGGTGGGGTATGTTACATATGACTATGTACTGGAAGCCTTTGGATGCACAGTGTTTAAGAAGTGATACTCCAGGTTCTTAATTGTCCTGCACACAGTTCTACATCTGTAAGCATCAGGGGTTTTCTGCAACCTTTGCATTCAGACGCCCAGCGTGCTTTCTGGGAAGGATCTGTTATTATATGATCTTTTTCACACTAGATTGAAAACCAAAGCCCTTTCCGCTTTGCAGACATGAAAGGCTTCTGCTGAGTTTTACCAAAGAATAGCAGGACTAATCAATGCACGGTGTCTTGGTTTGCATCAAAAGTACATAAACCCCCCAACTCACCGTCCATGGGGAGGGGGGGAAAAACCCCCTTCAGCATGCGAACAGAACGTCTTGGGGGAGGGGGGTAGGGGAAGGTTCAAAAGAACCGCCCTTTATAAATATCTTCAAATGAATATCTCCATCCCAGCTGAGGCGTCACATCGGCAAACGGTTGGATTCTGACAAGTGATACAAATTAGCAGGACGGTACAATGTACAAAACAAACTACATGTCACAGCTACAGCAGTGTGATGTCTGTATACCCACACCATTTTAGATTAAGTGTTTAATCTAGCTGGGAGCCAAGGAACAGTAGCTTTGCATCAAGAGTGGTGTTCTGAAAGGAAGCCCGTTCTAATGAGGGGCTATGTGCTGGGGTACCTGTCAGCTTGAGGTTCAGTGAAGCGCATTCATACGTGGAGCTGTGCAGCAAAGAGAGGAACTGGCTTTTGATACAGGCAGGTGCGTCATTCTTTGGCAACTTTCAAAAAAAAATGTTTTTTTGCCTCTGATGGAAATGTGGGCACTTGTACTGAAAACACGCTTCCCAGACTCCTACTTAACACCCTGTATTGAAAGAATACAAGCATCTTTATGTGACAAGTGCCAACCACTCACCTGGCTCATTATTTCAAAAAAATAAATCTGTAAGTTCAAACCACTCAGGGGCTGCTTTTCAGCTTTTTTTTTTTCCGGCTTTGTGTTAAATTACACAGGGAGATTATTTGCAGTACAAGCATTACAGGTCAATTGGTTTTGATTTGATCATTTTTTTCCGTTCCCCTTTGTGACTTTGAAATTGTGCGCAGCGCAGTAGTGGGCACCCTGTTTCTCAGTCCCTCTTTGATGGGAACAGAAGGAGACTCAGCTCTCCTCCTTTACCACGCGCTAACCTTTATAGGTACGGGCGTAAGGCCTCTGTAGGCAGTCGTTGAGACACAGCTGACAGCGCACTCTTAACAAATGACTGGCTTTAAGGTTTTCTCCAAGAGTAGGAGTGTCTAAAGGAAGTGGGGTTTGGTCCTTCCTGCTTGTGGTCTGACTTCTTCTGCCTTCTTCTGCCATCACAGGCTGTTCCTGAGACTGCTGGCATCAAGTTCCCAGACTTCAAATCCGCAGGTGTCACGCTTAGAAGTCAAAGGGTAAGTGTGTCTTTCAATCTTTTGTTGCATCTTCTCATCTTTTTTTTTTTTTTTTTGTTCTTCTGGCGACCTGGGATAGGCACGCCATGATGGCGTCATTCACAAACTCGGGAGTCCTCTTTTGGTGTCGTTCCACTCTCCACTCATCCCACTCTGTCCACAGCTGTGCTCAGACAGATGTCTGCGGCTTGGGGGGGGTGCCTGTTAAATGTGACACTACCCGGGCTTGAACCCGGGATCACCGAGCTTTGCTCTTGAGAGCCTGTGCTGACTAAGCTGCTTGCGAAGCCCGAGATGTGTAGTTGTTATTGATGGACACCTCCCCCGATGTGCACTATGTGAAGTGGTAAATAACCCACCGGCAGCTTTTCCAGATCTTGGAAGCTAAGCAAGGCTGAGCCTGGTTGCCACTGGGTTTAGTGGTGCAGCGTTCCAGTGTGTTGACTGGGCACACAGTACTCTTGAAGGTGCCATCTTCCAGAGTAGTCATTAAAGTGCTGGTTACTCGTGGTTGTTAAAAGATCACTTGGGATTGTGTGTAAGCACAGAGGTGCTGACTTCCCCTTCAGGTTGGCACAAGGTAGCCTCCCCAAATCTCTCCTTGAATTTAATCAGTGAAGCAATTTCTCATCCCTCCATGTACTCTGCTGGGCAGTGGGGCTGCTGGTGCAGAATGCCTGCCATACGTCAGCCAGGTGGGGCTGCAGTTCAGTGGAGGATGAATTGGGTCTCCACCTCCACTGTATGTGAAGAGCTTTGGCGGTCCTTAGGGCTTAAAGGCACTTTAAATGCCAGCAATTAAATTAACCTCCAGCCATGTTCAGCTGAGAGACTGTGATGTTGGATTCCATCACTCGCAGTCAACAAGATGAACCATTTTTAAGCATGGACATCTCCCTGATGTAGAAACTGAACCACCTAATTCATGCCAAGTGTTGGCCACATTTGGTGTTTTATGTAAGAAATTGCTAACATTTCTAAATGTATTTTCAAAATTGTAATGATGTTAAAAATACTTTTTAAGATGCTTTTAAATGGAACTGGATGCTTTAATCTCATCTTGGGGACACTTTAATTCACAATGAACTTTGATCTCTATATGAATATAGATTTAGTAAGTATTGCATTATATTAAATGGTGTACGTTTATACTAAGGTACACAATTATGATTTTTTCGAGTGCATGCATTGTTAATTTGGGACTGCTTTTTTGCCAGCAGTTCTGGAGCAGAATCAATATTTAAATAGTTAAATATTTTGGAAGGATTGTGGGTTGCTTGCCGATGCAATCACTTACAGGCAAAACCAGACAGCTGTGAGTTTTTTCTGTTTTAAAGCACAGTAAACACAATAATGTGAAGTATTGTAAGAAGAAGCAATATCTGGTGAATATTGATTCCTGCTTTGACCAATGCTGATATTTCTCAAAAAAACGATTAATCTTAATTGATTATTTTGACTATATTCATCGGCATCGAATCAAAATATAAATTATGTCCAGAAATATGAGTTATTCCAGTAGTATTATTGCAAATGAAAACCACTTGGTTTGATTGAATGATTGAACTAGATGGCTATGCACAGCTGGAACAAAGAGTCAAAAAGAGTCAAAAACTGAATTCAATGACCTGCTTGCCTTCTTTAAACTGTAGATATTTTATGTACAATGGTGATGAAAATATTAATGGTTGTGTAGAATTAACGCAGTTGGTATAGTACTTGCACCTAAGTGTAAGATATTTTCCTTTCTTTTTATAGAATATTTTATAATATTCAAATAGAATATTGTATAATTCATTGTACAGGCAATCCCCTTTTTTTTACCTTCTGTGACTTTGAATCTGACCCGAATGGGTTAACCATATTCCAAAGATCACATATCCCACATCTCTAAAGAGGATAAAATGATCTGGTCTTTGCTTTGAAAACAAAGGAAAATCATGAAATAATTGCTTGATGCTTAAGACGCGGGAGTGTGTTTTACTTTGCTCTCATTAGTAAAATGTTATGATTTATGCAGCTGCCGCTAGACTAATATCTTTAAAATTTAGCCAAGAAAGCCGATTTATCTTTAAGACTGATGAGAGGAGATTGCTCTCTATGCAAAACGCATTAAAGCTAAATGAGGAGTCTATTACTCAAATATGGCTGATAATCCGTTAGCTAGACTCCACTAACTAAAAAGATTTGGACGTGTCACTGCAGTGACAACCTCGTCTCTGAAGTGCATTACACAGGAATTAACTTTGATAACTTAAGTGTTTTGTTCCTCCATTTTCTGACATTCTGCTAATTTTAAGACTGGGTTTTTCACCAAATTAATTTACATTTGTTTTCAATTCAGCTTTTATTGCCCTCTGCCTGCCTGCCTGCCTGGCTCATTCGCATGCACTCTGCACGTGCACACAAGGGGGATGTGAAAAGCATATTTGTTGCCTGTAGTGTCTGCTTTTTGTAAAGTAACCCAGTTAAGATTCTTAAAGTCTTGCATGGTATCTATATGTTTTCTGTAATCCAGTGCTGATTCATCAGCTTGATTTAATAATATTAAAAACTGCTGGTGAATTTATAACTTTAGATTTTGAATGGCATCCAGTAATGTTTGAATTTGTTCACCTGCCTAGGAATGGTAATGCAGTAAAAGAAGCATTTACCATTCTCTTTAAGGCATTGATAGTTATTGGTCTAATCACTTGTTTCTCAGCATGAAAATATCAAGTAATTAAAAATGGAGGATTTATCCTCAATAGAGTAAGAATGACTTAGTGACACAGGATTTTGGCACTGATCCCGAGTATGCCTTGAGTGTGAATCTCTTTTAATCATAGAATAGCTCATTGCATGTTTTGCTCTTCAGAAAAGAAAGAGAAACAGGGTAGCAGTAATAGGAATACCGCTGTAAATATTGTCTAGGTCCACCAAAGAGTCGTTTTCATGATTTGTCTTCATACCTCTCTTGTTGAAATCTACTGAGGTAAGACTGTTTTCACCTCATAAATAACCTGGTATAAAAAGACAGGAGTTTCCATTATGCAGTCCTGCTATGCTTCATTAAAACCCATATTTGACATTTTTAATTTAAGGAAAAAAATTTAAAACCCTGTTCAAATGTGCCTAAAATGAAACCAAGTCACCTTTTTGCAGTGCACCTTGAGAGAGATTTGTTCATTCACTGTGGTGCTGGATCTATAATGATTTTCTGTTGGTGTGTGCCGGCAGATGAAACTCCCCAGCTCTGTGGGACAGAAGAAGATTAAAGCCATCGAGCAGATCCTCACAGAACAGGGAGTGGGTGAGTACAGACAGGCAGAGGCTGCAAGACAGACAGGCCCGGCGGCTTTGTTGTGGAAATTTTGTGAACCTTTTCTCCTGTGCCGTTTCCCTGCTCCGGCGCAGAACACAGAGATATGACTGGGGCGAGGTTCAAAGAGGCACTCAGCGCTTTGATTCCAAACCTGTGAAGTCACCCCCAGTGCGAGAACTGGGAGATTGTTTAACCTGACCACTGCTTCCCAGCACCAGGCACTGCATTGCGTGTTCTAAATTCTTTTCATTTAACGCTTTGCACTTTCTTTTTATGGAAATTATCCCCGCTCTTGTATGTTGCACACAAATTGAGTTGGTTGCCTCTAAGTGGGTCATTTTTTTTGCAATACTGTGCTTTCCGGCTGAAGTTATTCACAAGCTGCTTCTGTTGGTGTCGAACATCAGAATTAGAAAATGGAGTGTCCTAGAGAAGCCTCTGTCATTGTAAGTGTGTTATGATCAGGTCCATGGGTTGCAAAGGTTTTTCAGTGTTTCATTTACTAGAAGGCCAAACAGTGACATGGATTTTTTTTTGTGTTTGATCTTAAAAATGAGTTGTGCGAAGGGAGTTTGACACTAGAGCTTTCTTCAAAGGTCAAATTTGGGATTGTTTTGCACTCTTGCATTATTCCCTTAAGATGAAAGATTCACAGTTTTTTTCGCTGCATGAAGAGGACTTTCTGATGCATAATGAAAATGCAACAATCCGTTTTACATCAGTTTTTTGATGTGAGTAGTAGTATTCCCTTGGATACTAAAATACTGTCCTCAGGTCATGTGGTTTCAGTTAAACTCCAGATGCTCAGTGTTTGACTTGAGTCAGAATAGCCTTTCAAAAGGACACGAGCGAGGTTCATGCAAGAACAGCAGAAGGTATGACTGTGCTCCTCTTGAGTGCTGAAGATCAGCTGGATGCTTTTGGCATGGCTGAAAGGGGCCTGTCTGTGAGAGAAGCTGCCAGGAGAGAGAGGTGTTGTGTTCCACAATCGGACAACGCATCCAGGGAGCGCATGAAGTCTGCTCCGGAGCAGTGCCGCTGCAGCAGTTCAGAAGTGGCGTGTCCACCTGATCCGTCTGCAGCCCCTTCCAGACCGTGGTTGTTTCAGCTCCAGAACTTCCAAGAAGAGCCAACCAGAAGACTGAGTGCTGCTCTCCGCCTGTCTGTAAATGATCTGCGTGCTCAGCGGCCTTTCAAGGGCCACTTGGATTCACGGCGTGGAGAAAACTGCTGGCAGAGAGAAAAGGGGAGAGCTTGATTCTCTTAACGACAACCCTGGACAGACGCTACCCAGGACGGCATGCAATGTGTGTGTTCTTGAAGCCGTCCTGCGAGGGCGATGCAAAGGTGCTGATATTAAAGGACGTCTCACAACAGCGCCACGGGTGCAGATTGAAGGCAGCCTTTGTGCTCGGCGATACCCTGGTTGAGTCCCTGGCGCCGGCAGTTTTTCTTTCCGTTCCTGCCTGCCAATCAATGTGTTGATTTTGCAGTGGGCCCAGGGCGGGGCTACGGCGGCATGACTTCAGGAAAACGATGTCAAGGTTTTGCCGGGACTGTTTATTCTCCTGGAACATCTGTGGGACCAGCCGGTCAGTCCCATCAGCATTGACAGCCATGAGCAGCCATCTGGCTGCAGCTGAACAGGAAGAGAAGCAGAGCAGCCCACTGCAGCCTCTCCAGGGCCTGATCAGGTCTGCGTCAGAGTAGCCGGCGTTGCGTTGATACTCGGGGAGGTCACGCCTGGTCTAGCTCGTGGTAATTGTTCTCATTTGGAAAGTAGTCACTTTTCATGCTGTAAATTTACCGCGACTCTTTGATTTGTGTGTTTTTTACATATGTAAAATATTTGATTAAACCCACCAGGCCTTAGCGTTGGTTTTGATTGTGCAGCATACCGGTGTTTCATGTCTCCAGCAGGATCTTCAACTTCTTTCTTTTAGTGTAGTTGAGTGCCAGTTCTGCTTTGTTGACAAGGTGTAGCAAAGAATCAGGAGTGCCTGTAGCTCCGTGTGTCTCTAGTCGCTGCTCAGACAGAAGTGCGCATGGTTTCGGTGAGCTAGAGCAGGGAGGACCACCTGGATCTGCACATGCTCAGCTGCAGATGCATGACCCCTGCTATGCAGATCTTATTCTGAAGAACCACTATTGCTAATTAATGGACTAAAAGTAATATCTGGATTGAATTAAACATGAATGCATGAATTAAACATAGGTGTTTCATAGTGTATAAACAGAGAGCAAAACACTTGAAATCCTGTGATCGAGCTTGCCATTTAAAGGTAATACATTACACAGCACACTTCACTTAACCCTACCCTCTGAGTAATTTGCTACCTGTATAGCTGCCAGTAGTGTTACCCTCTGTAGTGTACACTGAGCAAGATTGCTTCAGCAGACAAAAGGTAATTTGCACTAATGAAGCCTCATTCCTTCCATTACACTAAATCATCTTGTTCTGGCATTGCTGGCTGCCAGTGTGCTTCTTAAGCTGGAATGCCATTTAAATAATAGAAACGTGAGCTCAAAAAAATCCTGTAATTTTAATGTATAGTCTATAAACTGTTTACCTAACCTCTGAAGATGCATAATTCTCTGTCTTAATTCTGGCTTGTTACCAACTTGTCAGAATTCACTGTCCGATCCCAAAGTACTCCGCTCTGGAACTGTTTGCTTAGCAGTTTTTAATGATGTTGAGTATTCATCCCTTGAGACTGAATTTTGACTTTTGGTTCCTTAAAAGTATAAGCTTCTGCCCCTTTTCAGCTTCCTAAATCTCCAGAAAGAGATGTCGCATCAGAACCATTTTTCATTTCATACACCATTGCTTCTCCATGATTATCTTATTTAAAGATACTTCTAAATACATTTGTTTACAGCTAATAGGATCTATTGTACATAATCATTTGGATTATAGTTCTCAGGAATTTTAGGACTCTACTCCCTCTTGGTTAAAAGTCTAAGAAAATAAGATTGTTCCAATTTGCTGCCTTTGAAGGAGCCCACAGATCCCATCTGCTGTGCATCGTCTTATCAAGTTGTTCCGGGAATGCGGTTGTCCTGCAGGGATATGAACCTCTTCTTCCCCACTGCTTACTCCTTTATGTACGCAAGACTTTGGCCATCAGCCCCTCCAGAGACAATGGACAGGCTAGCGGTTTTGTTCATGGGAAGTCACTGACACTCTGTTACATGATGCAATTGCAAAAACCCCCGTCTGAAAATGCTTTTGAGTTAGCAGATCGTGAGCTCGTGGTTTGCGCGCGTGGCCCCACTGTTCCGCTTCTTCCAGCCCGCCTCATCGTCAGGCCCCGTTTCTCGGCTCGTCCCGGTGTCTGATTAATTAACACCATCCCTCTGAGGTCTGTTGTTTCTTTCTTTTTTTTTTTTTAAACAAAAAAGGGGACAAGCAGTGGCGTTTAGATAAAGAAGCGGACAGCTTTGTTTCTAAATGATTGTATTCCTGTGCAGCAGAAAAGCTCATCAGCACAGCAAGACCCCTCCAGGGGCCCGGCGCATGTACATCATCAATTAAATCCAATACAAATGCAAAACCGAGGCGCGAGAGGCAGGGAACAAGCCTCGGTAAGAGAGGCTACATCTCTGCAAATCAGATTTGTGCCCAGAGAGCCAGGCTTTGATTTGCCTCAAAGTCTGCAAGATGGAAATGCATAATGGTCACTGATCACTGCAGGGTAGACTTTTTGTCAAAGCAGCAGGCCTTCAACAGGTTTTATTTCTTTTAAATTATTCTTCTTATTAGTTTAAGAAACGGTTCACGTTGGAGAGGTGCTTCTGCGCAGGGGATTTTTTTGCAGCTTTTGGCTCGTTCGTTTTGCTTCTCCGCGATTCAGCGTTTAATTAAATACATGGCCAATGAAAAGCACGTCTCACTTGTTGTCGAAGGACGTCGTCTCCATGTCTTGCCCGTATTTGTCAAATCTGTGTATGTACTGCAAATATCTTCAGCATGTTTTTTTCTCCTTGAAGCATTCTGAGCTGTATCTTATTTGTTTTGTCCTGTGTTCTCTGGGCAGGCTTCAAAAAAATAACTAGTTTATTCCCTATCATTACGTGATGAAAAAACCTTTAAGCACCACACACTTTTTAGAATTGTATCCCACTCGCAATTGTTTTTTTGACAGAAGACAGTATTTTTCTAGCACACTATGGTACGCAGTCATGGTTGCCTGTGGGTTTTATGGAAGTGTTTTTACATTTTACTTTTGTATTTACACAAGGAATTCCTTAAGATGCAGCAGTGGTATAGATTTGTGCATGTATAATTGGTATAAGCTTTTACGTCTTACTGGAAATCTTTGTCATGAGCTACAAAGAATAATTCAGGAGCAAAAATATTTGAACTAAAATTATATTTAGAATACTGTTAAGGTTCTTCATTAATAGTTATATTAGGGTTATTTGATTAAATATATATAGAACCAAACTGAAATTCAAAGTGGATTAGCTGAAATCAAGCAACTACAGAGGCAGCAGGGATATTTTTTTGGACAGTTGCTTTAATCCAGTTATTGGATGTTAGACTCCCGCCACCTCCTTTACCTCTTCCTGGTCTCTCAGGCTCCTGACTGCTCTCCCTGTGCTCCTTCCCTGCAGATCTCAACCCCATGCCGACGGAGGAGATAGTGCAGATGTTCAACGAGCTGCGCAGCGACCTGGTGCTGGTGTACGAGCTGAAGCAGGCGCACGCCAACTGCGAATACGAGCAGCAGATGCTGAGGCATCGCTACGAGGCGCTGCTCAAGGCGGGCGGGGCCAGCACTCCCCTGGGGGAGGGGCTTGGGGCTGATGGACAGCCTGGGGGCGGGGCCGAGGACACCAAAGGGGACAGCAAAGATCAAATTATTGACGTGGTGGGAGCGCCACTCACCCCCAATTCCGTGAGTATCCCAAGGCCGTCTCTCCGATTACATTCCCGAAGGATGAGGTTTCGTTGTGTACACACAAAACAAACTCGCCCTAAAGCATGGCGAAGCCTGCAGCTCGGATCCGTTAGAGCAAATGGCCAGGGTGACTTGATCAAGAGAGTTGTGGATCTTGCTGGTGAATTTAACACGTCGGCGTGGAGATATTAGACTGTAAAGTAGGACAGCACTGCCTGAGTGGTGGCTGGTTTTGTAGCCGGTGAAGCCCAGTGCAAATATTGTAAAATAGCCCCTGTCTGGATAGGAAGAGGCTTAAATTAGAACTAGGCCAACAGTTTTAAAACTATTGTTGAATGCTATTAAAATGACCAGTTGCCTAGAACGTGGGTAATCAGGTTTCTTTGTGAATCGCCACTGAAGCAACAATCTCATTAATCTGTGATTAATGAGGGTAGGCGTCTTACCAGGAAGGTTTTTTTTTTTCAAACCTTGCTGTAGCTTCAACCGAGGCAATGTTTGCTATTGGTTCAGGATTACAAGAACATATGGGAAAGGTATTCCTTTAGAACGGTGTTCATTTATCTTTCATTGTTCTTGGAAATGCTTTGAAACATTTTTTTCTAATATGTCTCCAATGGAAAATGGATTAGTGTTTTCTCGTTCAGACCTCTTACACAGTCTTAATTATGGCATGGAGAACATTTTCAGATTTGTTGTGGATTAATGTGCGTGGGTTTAGAGGTGCCTCAGTTCTATGGTAACAGTGGAGTACAGTGTGTGGTGAGGCACTTAAGAGATTCCTTTTTCCAGTGACAGCAATATGAAGGACAAAATGGATTAGACTTTCACCCAGCCTTTCATAACAGGCCTTTTTATGTGCCAGTCATAAACTTCCTTTAATTTTACACCAACCGTAAAAAGAGGTTTTATATAAATACATTTTATTTACTTTTTTTTGGCAATGTTTCAGTCATTTATTGAGGCACAGGATGCTCTTGCAAAAGTACTGTTTTGCTGTTGTCTTCTGCTACAGTGGTGTGGTGCTTTGAAGTGGGTGGGTTAAATAAGGCTGTCAAACAAAAAGATCTTTCTTATACGTTAGTCCTGCCAAGGGTTCAATAAGGTTCTAGGAGTGTGAAAGCATGTTGTGTTAAAACTAGGACTGTTCTGATTAAAAGGTTAATCAAGACAATTAGTAGAATAAGCTGTTGATCTGAGATTTTTTGAAACCTCATCTCTGGATGACACAGTGTTAAGTTCACCAGAAGCCAAGAGACGCCAGCTATCGCACCCTGTTTTCACAAAGCCCATCACGTTAACATCTGAAGACAAAATTGAGAGTTACAAGCCCTCGAACGGAGAGTGGTAGGTTGCTCAGCGGTAGTTTTGGGTTTAAATTAGAGATGCTGTAGAATTCCAAGATGTCAAGGTGGAGTGCCGATAAAATTGAAGCAATATTCCCTGAAAACGCACAAAGCATTGCTTTGGCCATAAGTAACACTGCGAACCTTCTCCATGCTGTGCACACTTTTCAGCTCAGCATCACGATAAGCTTTTGCAAACCCCTTCATTTGTCAACCGTTTTACGGTTTTATAGATAGGTGCCATAAAATCCTCATTTCTACTTCAATAGAAATAGGTGTGATTACTAAATTGTACTTAATTATCATGCAATGCCTACATAATTTAAAAAGCCTGTGTGCTTTCTTAGGCGATTGTCTAATTCCTAATAATTCCTAGTGTTGATGAAAGTGTTCTGTATGACAGCTTGTTTTAGACCTTTACAATTCCTAAAAATCTGATCAATTTATGCTTGCAACTCAAGCCTGTAAATGAATTAATGCTTCCCAAATTGCAAATAAGAAAGCCAGGATTCGCGCTGAATGTTCTATGTATTAGCAACTCCTATTGCTCACAGTATTCCTTTATACAGTAAAAAAAAAACTGGTAAACAATCTCCTTCGGTTTTAAAGTGGTTTCCCAGGTGTCTGGCTGCCTCACTCAGGTTGTTGTGTTGCTCATTTCCGCTTTCCGGAAGTGTGGAATTTTCTCCTCCAGGGATTTTTAGATGCCCATCCGGTTGGTGCTGCCTCGTGATCGGGCTGCTGCGTCTTCCCAGAAGCGTTACTCATCGTGCTGCTGGCCGTGCATTTCCAGACAGTTTCCATCTTGAGCACTTTTTGTGTTCACACTTCCCTTTGAGCCTTGGAATTCTGCTGGGTGTAATGGGAACATCTCCCGATCCTGCTACTTTTTTTGCATAATCAAATTTTTTACAGCTTTGTTACTAGCAACGTTGGTCAATTATAGCGCTAATATTTGCCACAAAAAAAATCTTTTTTTAGAAATCTTTTTTAAGGTATACGTGCCCAGTTTGGAGTCGCCCGATGTGGTGTTTTTCATGTCTCAACAAAGACCACTGGAGCTGCACACAAGGGAGAGTGAGGATTTGTTGTTAGGCTCCTGTGACCTGCCCGCGTTTGAGCCACTCTGCCTTTAACACGTGACAGGAATGCTTGGGGAGTCCTAGGCTCATTGGCTACATTCGAACTTGCAATGCCTAACGAAAAACAAGTCCGATTTTATTCTGTTAAACATTTACTGTGATCTCTATCCAGAAGTATTTTGTTTCTGCTCATTTAAAATCAGGGGAATTTTAATGATCCACGTGGAGCCTTACACTGGGGCTTTGCCATTTTCATTTCAATAAATCAATAGTTTATGTTGTTGTGTTTATGCAATATTATCCAATAATGCTGAAATGTGTAACACTTGTATCTTCTAGCTATTCTGTAGCTGCTCAGTAAATAGGCCTATAAAAAGTCATATCGTTTTTATTCCTACACACTGTATACTAAGAGCACATTAGTACATCCCCAGTTATGCTTCTGAAATTTTCTTCTGAAGCACGTTTACTCCAGACAAGCCACAAGGTTTCATCAAGTCTCTTCCTCTGATGAATTAACTATTAACAGTGTAGCAATGCCTCTTGACACCCAAGGAGTTAAGCTGAGTCTTTGTATGGGTGACATATGTGAATGAAACATAATAAAGGTAATTTACTGCAAGGCAAATTCCATAGCTAAAGGGTTCCGATGTTAAATACCGCCCTGACCTTTACTGGCTGATTACATAAAGACGACACAATTAGATTAGTCCAGGGAGAGAAAGGTCAAGCGCATTCACGGTTGTGGCCGTTTTGGTCTACCTGGAAATCTGAACACCCTCCTCCACCTTGAGTGAAAGAGAAGAGCTGTTTAGCTTTTCTTTTTTCTCCTGCGCCCCCCCTTTCAGGTTCAACACCCAGAGGCCAACATTCAGCGCGCACTTGATCTGCTCTTTCTCCTGATGTCCTTGTGATTTTCCCACTGTACCCTTCTGTAGGGCAGTGACTCTTCCTACCAAAATATCCCTTGGATTTCACGATCATTCCTATGAAACCAGATTGTTTTGTAGACGCCACGGTTTCAAAAGGGCAGTGCGCAATTTCTAGGCTTGCAGTATTGTTTGGAACCAACAAAGCCCACACTGATGTTTTTCTCCGCTTTTTGTCTTCCAGCGGAAGCGAAGGGAATCGGCCTCAAGCTCTTCCTCCATTAAGAAAGCCAAGAAACTCTGATGCAGATTGTTTTTGTACGTTTGACAAGGAGAAAGGAACTTGCAGAACTGCATGGGGACTGGTCAGCCTCAAACCAGGAATAGCAGATTTGCAGAGCCTTTCAGCTCCGCTGGGATTCACATTCATCATTGCACAGACAACCTGCTGGGTCCAGACTGACCATATCTTTGCTGCCAGAGCCACTGGCCCCAACTCAAAACACACACACTCCACTTCCTGTATCTGTCTGTCACACTGCAACCAGACTGCACCAGCACATGGACTTTGACTGACATTCCATTCCATTATTGTTTTTCCTGCTTGCTAGACAAAATGAACCTGGATGAACCAGAGACAATGCATCGCTTGCCAATGTGAAAGTCCACTTTGAAGTTGCAGTGAAGGCAGATGTATTAAGATGTGTACCTGCACATGGGCTGTTAGTCTCTGCGGGGTGCCTGCTTCTAAATTGTACTTCAGTGGACGTTAAATGTTACAGGCATTTTGAGATGCTGTTTCCCAGAGGGGAATAGAAATGTAAAAATCATGCCATTTACCCGTTTTGAATTAAAATTGGAGTGCGTTTGAATTCCTGATTGAGCTTCCTCTGTGTCAAAATGGGTCTATTCCCTGTAAACCAAAATGTTATTAATCTCCATGCTTAAAAAGGCTTCCTCCATTTGTGTACTTAATGTCATGAACACCTTGTTGTGCTTATTGTGGAGGTTGAATGCAATGCCAGAGGTCATCTTCACCTTGCATCCTTCTTTATTTTGATTTATTTATTTAGTTGAGCTGAGCTCAACTATTTCATTGGTATCATCTATAAACGTTCACGTATTACTATTTTGACAATCTGTTAAACCTAGGGAGCAATCACAAATCTGCAAAATTTCCTTCAGTTGTACGCCATGGACAACACTGTGCGCATGAAGATTTCTAGGTTTTTCCTAGGTTTGCTTGTTGTGGTCAAGCCAGATGTCCGTGTGTTTTCAGGTTCTGGAGGTTCTTTAAGCGTGAGAAAATGAGATGTCGGGAAGCTCCTTCTCCTACGTCCTGCGTGCCCCTGCCGCTGTCTGTCTGTCCCTGTGGGAGCCCAGAGTGCAGTGTGAAAATCACTTTGCAACAGAAAGCAAATGAAAATGGCGTTTAAAAAAAGGCAGGAATTAGGGTTTACCGAGCCTAATATCTCAGGTTAATTGGGTGGAAGGTGTCTCGCGCTAACTGGGTTTATCCCTGCAGAGTCTGTCACCTGGGGTTAAAACGACAGCGAGAGAGAGGGGAGAGGCGAGGGCAGTTTGTCATCTCCCCACAGCGGCTGATGCTCGGGCTGTCGGGGCTTTTACAGCCTGCAGCCATTAAGGCCCTGACATGGTTAATGCTGATTGCGCGGCGCACCGCGAGGGGCCTGACACTAACGGCGCGGTGAGTGACGGAGATGATGTTAACGAGCTCTGTGAATTACTTCGTTTGGGGGGCCCTTGTTTACAGCGCGGCGGCGGCGCGCGAGGCAGCACTAAACCCGCCCCGGCGATAAAACATCGCGGGGGCATTATCGTTAACACTGGAGGGTGGGGGGGAAGAGTGTCAGCCAGTGAGTAATTGAGCGGTGGGTAACTCTTTAGATACTGCCACTGTCATTGGGCTGGGTGCTGAGTCCCCATTATATATATATATATTTTTTCTTTTTTTTTACTATTTGAATCTCGCATTGTGCGGCAAATCCAGAAAGAGAGAGGAAGCTGTGCACCTCCAGTGACCGTGCAGTGATGCTTAAAAGTATGACCACACTGGGGCTTCTCCGACTTTTTGTGTCTCTTAATTTTCAAGTAGTGAGGTGGCTGTCACCCAGGTTGCTGCTGCACTCCAGGGTGTGCTTGAAGTGGGCCTCTTCCCACACGGAAAGAGCTCGGCATGACCAGCAGTATGTAAATACCAGGAATGATTAAAATGGCCAGTTCTCATTTTGTGTGAGGGCCTCGTCTGTGACCTGGGCCTAGGATTTATCAGACCAGTTCGCAGACCAGTACGGCTTTTACAGAACTAATTAGCAGATGCATAGCATCTGACATAAGCCACATTTAAAAATTCAGTAAATTAAGCAATGAAGCCAGTCCTGCTGGTGGAATGAATACTGCTGTAGCTCTGTTGGAGTGATCCAAGCACATTATTCCCTCTTAAGTAAGTTTAATCAAAAAAGTACATCAAGAGCCCCCTTTTTTTTCTAGAATGACTGCAGCAAGAGGATAATACGTCTTGTCACCGTTTGTACTTAAATTATAGAGAATCTTTTTCTACGAGGTCTAAATTTGTTGAAAGCAATGAGGGGAAAGTGTGTAGTTTTTTTTTCTCTTTTCCTGCTCAGGATTCTACCTATCATCCAAAGACATTATGTCTTGGTTGATTAACTCCTTGCATTTTGAATGGTGCTTTGCCTCCCACAGAACAGCATCCATTAAAGTGACGTCACTATGTGACAACAGCAGATCAGGTGGGTAGGACTTTGCTTAGCCAATTGAATTAAGGGGTAGCTCCCTAGGTAGGTCAGATGGTGCAGGCCCAGAATGGAATTTAAACAGGACACCAGGGTCATGTTCGTAAGAGTAGGGACACCGTCATTGTATCTTTAATGATCAAATACTCAGGACCTTATTCCCGTACCTCATCTGTAAGGTGGTATGTAGCGCAGGACAGTGTGCCCAGTGACCATTATGGGGGTATTGGTAGGAAATTCTGGTCTAGGTGAAAGAGACCGCCACCTACTGGTCCACCACCATCACAGCAGCAAACGATTTTACTTTAGGGTCTCCTATCTCAGTGCTGATCTAGCCCACCTTTCCTTAGCTTCTGAGATCTGGGGCTGCAAGGTGGTGATGCTGCTGAGTGAATCTGTGTCTCGAAATTGTGTTTGTACGGGAAAGCTTCATGATGGACTGGCATCACGCCCAGGGTGTCGTGCCACCTTGCTCCCCATGTTCGAGGTTAGCGTGACCCCCCCAAACTAGTAATAAACGTCTTTCTCATAATGGATGTAGCACAGCAGAGTAAACACTTTTTTCCCCAACTTTGGCTACCGTATTTTATTCACTGCATTTTAGAAAAACTCTGGAGCTCTCCTGTAAATAGGTTCTTCATAATGACAACTTAGACCAAGAAGCATTAACTGTTGACAGTGCACATGATGCATCACAGTAATGGGGCAAATGCGTCTGTCAGTTCTGTTGTCGGCATCATAAAGGGACGGCGAATGAGGCAGGCTTACTGTAAGGCTTCATTAAAATGCTAAGCAGGCCTTTTCCAATTTGTATTCGCTCCGGCCACTGCAAAGTGACCAGTCTCTTGAAAATTTCTAATTGCAAGTCAATTATGTCATTGAGCCCATTTTGAAATTCATTTGTATGCAAATTTGGTGTGCACTCTTTCTCAACAACATACAGTATGTACACTATGTGATCAAAACTGGCTTGGCTCATTTTTTGCTCATTTCCTTCTCAGAGTGGTTCCAGTTGGCCTGGGTACTGGGGCAGTGCTGCACTGCTGGTTCAGCTCTGGCCAGGGTGTTGGCTCGTTATAAATGCAATTAACGGGGGCCAGTTTTCTAACGAGAACCCTAATGTGGTTTAATTTGGAATTGCGATCGGTGGGAAGAGGCTTGTAGTTTTCTGGGAGACCCAAACTATTATAATAATAATTGCTTACACTTATATAGCGCTTTTCTGGACACTCCACTCAAAGCACTTTACAGGTAATGGGGATCCCCTCCATCACCACCAGCTTGCAGCCCCACCTGGACAATGCAACAGCAGCCATAGTGCGCCAGTATGCTTACCACACACCAGCTATTACTGGGCAGGAGAGCAGAGTGATGAAACCAGTTTATACATGAGGATTATTAGGAGGCCGTGACTGGGAAAGGCCAGGGGGAGCTTTAGCCAGGACACTGAGGGAACACCCCTGGTCTTTTGCTCTTTTCAAGAAATGCCCTGGGATAATAGTCATGAAGATGAGTACGGATTTATTCACTGAGGGCTACAGGAAAGAAAAACACAACTGCTAATAATTATTGCTGACACTTATATAGCGCTTTTCTGGATACTCCACTCAAAGTGCTTTACAGGTAATGGGGATCCCCTCCACCACCATCTATGTGCAGTACCCACCTTGATGATGCGACGGCAGCCACAGTGCGCCAGAACGCTCCCCACACACCAGCTCTCAGTGGGGAGGAGAGCCGAGAGATGAAGCCAGTTCAAAGATGGGGATTATTAGGAGGCCATGATTGGTAAAGGCCAATGGGAAATGCATTATAATTAACTCACCTACTGTGCTCAGGTTCAGTTGTGATATCCCTTCTCATGTTATCAAAACTATCAGCGAATACGTTGATGGGTGTCTTAAGTGAAAATGGACATGTTTTTAGTGATGAAGCTATTTAAAGATGGAGTGCGTAGGTGAAACCAGACTTCTAATGAATGGAATTCATTGCATACTGCAAGATCAGTAAGAAAACATGCTGCTTTTACGATTCTCTTTACGGAATCCTAATCTTTTTATTCTCCTGGCGATTAACTGAGATGGGTAGTTTGCCATTAAATATTCCAAAAAGCCTCATCTATAATGGCTTTAGCAAAGCCATTTAGTAAATACCAGTAGTACAAGAGGAAGACAAAAGTGTCTCAATCAAAAAGAGAGAAGTCGACTGGCCTCAATTTTCTCACATCTCGTACATCTTAGCCTGAATAAACCTTGAGGAAAAGCAGACTGTTAAACAAATTGCTGCTGTAAGTGGTAATTTTAAATCTACCTTTACTTTTGAAACTTAATTTACGTTTGAATCACAAGACTAATATATGATAACTCATTTAAGTAGACAGATCGTAACAGTTCACGGGCTTGAATGGAGATGGCACTGAAATTCAACATTTGTAAGTGGAAAAACTGAAATGACCGCACTAGGCCACCAAAGCACTCCTCCCAAATATGATTGATCCCCAGAAATTCCTATCTGGAAATCTGTCAGCTAAACCTGAAGTTATGCAATTTTTTTCTTCTATCAAACTGAATACCTTTATGTCCACTGCGAGAGAGATTTCTGGAAGGACAATGTATCCACCGAAGGGATTTGGGGAATGCTGTGCTTAAAGGACAGGAGGGTGAGGGCAAAAACTTGAAACATCTTTTCAGCCGAGTCTCAGTGAGGAACAGTCCCGAGGAACTGAACTTCCAGGCCGATGTTTTCCCAGTGAGGAACCCAGCTGCCCAGGACGCTGTTCCAAGCCATTGTCTGGGGCTCCGGGCTCTATGTCTGGCTGTCTGGGCAAGTGATGACACCGCGGTCTTCTTTCCTTCATCTCTGCTGCAAGGTCACCTGAAGCAGAGCCAAAACAAGCAGAGCGTGGCAGTGTGACAGCTCGAGAAGCAGTCTCCAGGCTGCCTGCTCCGGTTCTCCTCTGGCCTGGGCCCATACCGGACGAAGGCTGTTTTCTACACTGCGACCTCCGCCGCAGCTGTGGGGTCAAGGGACCGGTCGGGCGGCTGAGTCATCGTGACCGGTGACGGTCTCTCCATTTTCGAAAGCCTCGTTTACTGCGTTCCTTTCT